CATCTCTCATGCTCCTTTCCCCAACAACCTGAGTCTTGGTGCTGGCTGTCCTCCAGGATCTGGTAGGTACAAGAAGCATTAATCTTTAACAATTTCCTTTCCTGGAATGGCTGCTCCTTTGACCTCCAAACCCGAGACCCTCTCTTGCGCCCGCTTCAAACTTTGCAGACTAGGAGAGTGGAACCAAGAGGCCCACAGACGACCCTGCCACCCATTCTTCTCTTCCAGACACCTTCTCCCTTCACTCACCTGCTCCCGGAGGTTCAGCCATGGATACCCTTCCCCCTTCTCAGAGGGCCCTCCAGTCCTCTGCAGCCGGGTCACCTCTCTCCTTAGGGTTTGCAGCTCTGTTTGTTGGGTCATCAGAGCCATGGCACAAGCCACAGCCCCCAGAGCCGCCCCCCAACTCAACCAGAGGGCAACTGAGAGTGCCGGCTCTCGGATCTGGCTCCCCATGTCTCCCCGGTGCCCTTTGGGGACTAGCGAGGAAGGAGATGAAGCTGGCATGAGCTGGGGACCCTGCCAACAGCTGTGGTCTCAGGAGTGGATGGCAAGGAGGTGGCGGGAGGGTGGGGGTGCAGGCGGTGGTGCAGAAGGGAAGAAGGGCGTTACGCAAGGGAGAAATAAAAAGGAACTTGCGAATAAAAAGGAGGGAGGAGGAAAGAAAGCTAGGGGCACTGTTGGTGCTCCTGGCACGCCCCTGTGGGGCCGTGTTGTCTTGAGACACCCCCTACCCTCCTCTAGCCTCAGAAAAATTTGGTGTCAGTCTCTCTAGGAAGCACAGGGCTGCCAGTGACACCCAGAAGGAGCGGCCAGAGCACAGGAACCCTGGGGCGGCCCCAGAAGTGGGGGAGGGAAGGTTGGCTGGCTATGGGGCATGGTGCCAAGACTAGAGATGGAGGGTATAAGCTAGGCAGCATCGTGGGTCAAGAGGTGAGGGTGGAAGACCCTCTGGCTCAGGGAGAGATCTCTAAGGAGGTTTGGTAGGAGTACCTGAAGGTGGGAAAGGAGGGGAAGGAGCTGGTGGGGAGAACTAGGGTTGCGGAAACAAGAAACTGGCTGAGTTCTGGGGTTAAGGCCAGGCCGGGTGTGTTGGAACAAGGCCTGCATTACTCCCTATGCTGAACTTGGCAAGCAAGGCTTCCTGTTTCCCAAGAAAAGCTCTTACATAAGGCTCTGGATGAAGAGAGAAAAGAGACAGCCTCGAGCACCCTACCACTGTAGGATTCCTCCACTGGATCCTGGGACCCAGCTTCCCATGTTTCTGGGCCCTGATGCCCTGCGTACTGACCTTGAAACCCCCTCTGGGCCTGCTCCCTCCCCACATCCCAGCCAGGACTTGTGCCAGCACCTGCTAAATGTCCCTAGGCTGCCAAGAGGAAGGGCCCCTGTTCCTCTGAGCCAGGGATTCCCCACAGGAGGAAGCCCGCCTTCTAGGTAAATGAGGCTGCTTCTTCTGGACCTTGGGCAGAGGATTAATTTTTTTCCTGGCAGTTTGCCTTTCCATTCTCTGCTCACACCTCAGGGGGTGGAGGCATGTGGATCCCCACTCCCAAGTCTGTACACCACCCTGGAATTCCAGGCATCCTGCACCCCACTCCCCAATACCCAGACTCCCTTCCCAGGGCCCTCAGCTGCCCTGAGGAGGTCCCTTAAGCCCCAATAAAGAGAGCAACCATGACTTATTCTCTTTAATATCCACTTATCAACATTTTGTCATAATAATAATAAAAATAATATCTGTTTTAAAATCCACAGGGAATTATTAGGAGAGGAGCTTGTCTTGATCTGTTAGTCCTCACATCTGGGAACTCCTGGCCTAATCCCAGTCTCTCTGGCATTCAGCCCTCTTAGTGCCTGAAGAGGAGTACTGGGGACCCATTCTCACCCAGAGTACAGTAAACACAGAGTCCCAGGGGGCTGTGGCCAGGTTGGGAAGTCAGGAGATATATGGGGCATCGAAGATCAGAGAGGGGTTCAGGAGCTAGTGAGGTGGAGAACCAGAGGTGGAGGGAGTCATCAGGATGAATGGGAATATTTTTTGAGGCACGGAAAACATGTGAACAAGCCCTGGCAGCCTATGGAAGGATAGGCAGCTTAGGGTGGGGCAGAGGGGACTGGGGTGCTCAGTGAGTTGTTGTAGGGAGCCAGTGGCCTGGGAAAACCATCATGAGACCAGGGCCCCTCAGTGAATTTGGAAGAGTCCAAAGTAGGTGAGGAAGGGGGCAGCCTTGAGATGGGCCCAGGGGAGGGTTCGGATCCGTAGGGAGGACCCCAGACGCAAGGGCAAAAGCCCAGACACCTGGCAGAGACGGAGCTGGGGCCCGAGGGAACTTGCTGCAGTGGCAGAAAACTCTTCCAGGCAGCGCAGGGCCAGTGTATCATCCACCAGCAAGTCCAGCTTCAGGTAGACAGCCTTCCCCTCATCGAAGTGCACCTAGGGGACAGGGGGAGGTTGGCAGAGTCCAGGCCTCTGCTTATCCTCATCTCAATTTCAAATTTTCTTAGAGACCAGATATCTCTTCAGCCCAAACCCCAAGCTCCCTCTTCCCACCTTTACCTTGCCCCCACCCTCTAAACCAAACCCTTCTCCCTCAGTTCTTGCTTTACCCATGGAGCGAGGTGGGGCTTACCTGACAGTACAGGTAGTAGAGCCCAGCCCGGGTGACTATAAATCCCCCACTCTGGTGGTCATAGCGCAGTGGGTTGGAGCTGTTGATTTTGGCCTCTTCCCAGCCACTCACCGTCCCGTCCACACCTGAATGTGGATGTTCGGAGATAGGGGAAAGTCCCTTCACAGGACTCTCACTCCCCAGGGAGCCACCGAGTTTACAAATCTTTAGGGCCCACCTTACCCAGAAGATATAGAGATGGCCCAGGACAAGGGAGGGGCCATGACCTATGGAGCCCATAGCGTAATGGGAAGTTATGTAAAGAAATCTGACATATATGAACAGAACCATACAGAGCAAGCCATCACCAGCCACTCCCAGGGAGAAGAGTAGGGCTGAAGGAGAAGTGTGGGGGCTGTTATATTTTGTGTCTATAGTCCTTGCCTCTTTTGTGAATGTATACATACATTACTTGAATCATACATTACTTGGATTATTAAAATTAAAAATAATAAAATGGTATCCAAATGTCCATCAACTGAGGAATAGATAAGAAAAACTGTCATATATCCATAGAATGGGTATATTCAGCCTTAAAAAGAAATGCTATGACCTCTGAAAACATTATGCAAAATGAAAGAAGCCAGTCACAAAGGACCCATAGTATATGATTTCTATGAAATGTCCAAATAAACAAATAGAGAGAGACAGAAAGTAGACTAGTAGTTGCTTAGAGCTGTTGTGGGGAGAGAACAGAGAAATAGTGGATGATGGCTAAAAGGTACAGGGTTTCTTTCTGAGGGGATGAACATGTCCTAAAATTAGTGATGATTGCAAAACTATGTGAAAATACTAAAAGCCATTTAATTGTACACTTTAAATAGGTGAATTGTATGGTATGTAATCCCAGCTTTATCTCAATAAAGAAATTTAGAAATTTAGACCTAGGGTAATAGCGGATTGCAAACAAGACAAATAATAAAATGAAAGAACCGGACCTCAAGTGGCTTCTCAGGTCCTCCACAGCCAACCCATCTACCTCTCCAATCTAATCTCATGCACCCCTCTAATTCACAACATGGCACCCACTCTGGCTTTCTTTCTGTTCCTGCCACCAACCAAGCTTCTTGTCCCTGCAGGGCTTTGTACTGTTCTTCCCTCTTCCCGGAACACACTGCCCTGCCTGGCACTTTCTGTCAGTCAGGTCTCAACTCATCTGAGACCTTCCCAGGCCACCCAGTTTAAAATAGCCGGTCCCAGCCCTGCCTCTATTAATCTCTTCACCATGTCACCCTGTTTCTTTCATACAGTCATCAACATGGGAAATCATCTGGTTTATTTATGTATGTGATAGTTTGGGGTCTGACTCCCCTAAGAAGGCAGAGACAATGGTCCTATTTGCCACTGTATCCTGGCACCTGGAGCTGTGCCTGCTCTGAGTGGGTTCCTAGCAAAGACTGATGGGAAGACAGAGAGAAGTAGGTAAACTTGGCCAACAGCTCTCTGTTTGGGTCCACAGGCCCCTCTTCTGGACCTCACTGGCTGCACCTCAGCGGCCTCAGCAGCTGCCTTCCCTATCCCCTCATCCTCTGCCAGCCCCAGAGCCCCATCCTTGTTATTTTCTTAAAGAAAACGCCATGCTCTCTGGGCCTTTTCATCCTGTGAGTTACCATGGCCTCTACTCTGCAGACTTGGATCTGAGACTCCAGTCCTGCCCCTCCTCACCCTGCTAACTGCCACCAACCCAGGCACCTCACACTCATCTTGACCAAAACTGAGCTTGGCCTCCAACCCCAAACTTGCTTTACTGTCTGTATTCCATACTGGGCTCATGGTTCTACCTCTCCCTGGATACCTAGCCTCCTTTACCCTATCTTTTACCAAATTTATTCACTCATCATCAGTTCCTAGCAATTCTGCCACCTAAATAGCCCTGTCTCATCTCCCTCCCAGTCTGGCCCTTGCCACTTCTCACTTTGAGTATTCTCAGCCCCCTCTCTCATTGGACTCACCGTTTCCAATCTTGCCTGCTCCAGTTTATTGCCTATGTATAGCCACAGAGTGATGTTTCTTTTTTTTTTCTTCCCCAAGAGAAAATAACCAAATTTAATACATACACATACCTGAGAACCCCACATTACATGAGAGGTTCCAGAGTGATATATCTAAAATGCAGACGTGAGCCTGCTTCTCCTCGCTCTGACATCAGAATAATTTTCAGACTTCGCTTGGCACCTGGTTCCCACATTCTTCTCTAGCCTCGTGCCCCATTCTACTCCTCGAGCATTTTCTCCTTCAGCTACATGGAGCTTCTCATGATCTTCCGGCCTCATCATACTCTTGGAAAACTCAAGGTTTTTGCGCAAATAATTCCTTCTACCTGTAATGTCCTTGACCCCTTGTCCATTTTACACTCATGCTTCAAGGCCCAGGGAAGCCATAGCTTCTTAGGGATGGAGTCCCTGACTCCATGTAAAGTTGTTTGTCTTCCTCTATGCCACCATGTACCTCTGGCTACTTCATCTCATGTGACCTCTCAGCTGCATTCAACACAGACAGCCACATCCTCCTTCTTGAAACTGTCTTTTAGGTTCCATGACACTACTCTCCCTGGATTTCTTCCCCTCTCTCTGGCTGCTTCTCAGTTTCTGCTGGGTTCTCCTCCTCTGCTCCACTTCTAGGTGTCTAAGAGCCTCAGGGCTTCACTCATGGGGCCCTTCTTTCCATTGGTGTCTCATCCAGTCCTATAGCTTTATTGTTCTTGTTATAGCATACTGTAATTTACAAATTTATGTTTGTCTCCTCTCTGAGATAGTAATTCCTTGAGAACAGATCTGGGTGTTATTCACTGTGGTCATCTAGCCAGGTCCTTATAAGCGGTAGGTGTGTTGAGTCAATGAATGAATAAATGTCTGGGTAACTGCTAAAGTAAGTGGTCCACATGAGAGGAGGAAGACTGGCCTGGAGCATGAAGAATAGAGGATGAGAAGGAGAGAGGTGTTCCTGACTATGGAAACAGCTTGAACAAAGGCTGGTTGTGGCCAAAGGGCATGGTGGACCTGAGACTGTGGTGTCACTCTGTTTCACAACCACAAACCTCAAATGGACATTCCTCACTGTCTGGCACTCCTCCTCCTTTCCCTCACTGAGCTTCTGTTTGCACTCACCAAGATGAGAATTTTGTACTATCTCTGCTCAAACCTCCTGCCCCTGTCTCCCTTGTTCTCCAAGGCACCTAAAAAGCCATCAGGCAACAGCTCCTTTATCTCACTGCACCAAAACTACAAACTAGTTTGTTCTTACCTTCTCCAATGCCCCTCTTGTAATGATGGGTTGACGTGTCCCTTTCTTTGTGCTGGAACCCATCCTCTCCCATCTTTTTAGATGTCGCCCTGCAGGCTCCCCCGACCCCTGTATCAGCAATTGTTTCTCGCACAGACCATGTCCAGTACAAAAACATGCTCTGGGTGGGTTCAAATCCCAGCTCCACCACTTAGTATCATTATGACCTCAGACAAGGTAAGTAACCTCTATCTGTAAAATGATCAGAACATCTTCCTTTTAGCACTGTTGCGAGGATTAGATGAGATCGAACACTCAATAAATGTTAGCTAAGATTCATGTAGTATTTCATATCACTAAAAGGAGTGGACTTTTCCTTGATCCACATCCCCCTCTACCCACTACCCATTTCTCCGCTCCTGTCACAGAGAAACTTCTGGAAAGGATTGTCACAGTCTCTAATTCCTATTTCACATTTTCTCTTAACCTAATCCATGCTGGCTTCTATCTTAACTATACAGTTGAAACTGCCTTTGTCAAGGTCACCAATTGACTTTTAATATTACCAAATCCATCAGTCATTCCTCTGTTCTCATCTCATGTGACCTCTCAGCTGCATTCAACACAGACAGCCACATCCTCCTTCTTGAAACTGTGTCTTTTAGGTTCCATGACACTACCCTCCCTGGATTTCTTCCCCTCTCTCTGGCTGCTTCTCAGTTTCTGCTGGGTTCTCCTCCTCTGCTCCACTTCTAGGTGTCCAAGAGCCTCAGGGCTTTGCTTACGGGGCCCTTCTTTCCGTTGGTGTCTCATCCAGTCCTATAGCTTTCCTATAGCTTTAAATACCATCCATATGGCAATGACTCCTGACTTTATTAGTCCTGACCTAGCCTAAGATAGTCTACTATGCCCAGCCATCTATTTGAGAAACTCACTTTTTATTATTTATCCACTTGTTTACAATTAGATCTCATATTTAATTATTAATTTCCATACCTCCCAACCTATTTCTTCCCTGTTAATCCCATCTTAGCAAATGGCATCATTATTCCTAAAGATGATCTTAAAAATCTTGAAATAACTTCTGATTCTTCCCTTTCCCTTACCCTGCACATCCAACCTATAAGCAAGCCCTATCTTCAAGCCACATGCTGAATCCATCTTCTTCTTTCTATTTCAGCTGCCAACCCCCTAGTCTTGCCTCCTGGACTGTCACATGGAAGGGCATTCCAGATCAGGGAATAATATATACAAAGTCCAGAAGAAACACATTGGTGGGGAGGGGGAGTCAGCCCAGCAAGTGTGGAGAATGCACAAGGGTGTGCAGGGAAAAGAGGTTGAGACCAAGGAGAGGCTGGAAACCAAGCAGGGAAGCAACAGAATAATGTAAGTGAGGTTTAGGGGGGCTTAGTTTAGCAACACAGGTGGGGCAGAGTAGAAGGTGGGAGAGTCTGGAATGAGGAAAGAATTAATGACTGGGTTTGAGGTTCTGATGTCATAGTGCTGAGATGGGAGAATGAAGTAGGGATAGAAGAGAAGAGCAGAGACTAGAAACATTTTGAGAAAAATGATCAGAGCATGAAAACTCCTGAACTATGGAGGGGAAAGAAGAGGAAAAAATCAAAAGTGCTTTTTGAAGAGTGAGGGCTGAAGGAGAGGCTGGGCTGATGGTCTGGTGGAGGAATCTGCCTAGGTTCTGGGAGGGGAAAGGGTCTTCCTGGGGTCCTATGCCTGGATCACAGAGAAAGCCCCTGAGGACTTTCCTAAACTAGCTTCTGGGGTTCCAAGGCTGAAGGCAGAGATGGGGTGGTTAAGGTTTCCAAGAGCCCCTTTTCCAGGAGGCCAATGCTGTGGAGATTAGGGTCTCACCTGCCTGCGCTCAGAGATAGGGTCTCACCTGCCTGCGCTCCGTCCTGTCCAGGCCTTGGGTGAACTGTAAGACACAGGAAAGGGTTGGTGAGATCTGCCCTGCCCCTCTGCCACCCCTCTTCCCTGGGCATGGCTTACCATTACCCACCTTCATAGTGGGCGGCAATCACTCTGCGAGCCCGTGTTTTCCGGCCTTTAGGTGCTGAGAATCAAGAAAAGACAGATGGGCAAAGCAGCCTTCCCACCTCCCTGCATGTCTGGGAGGCCAAGAGCCACTCCCCCAAACCCATTCTCCTCCCAGAACCCTGGCATCCTTATTCTTGTCTAGACTTCTGGCCTAAGAACCTCAGGCTTTATCTTCATCCATAAGTAGAGTGAGTATATAATTTATCATCCAAATTGAGATGCTTCTGAAAACAGAAGGGGTGCTATTAATAATCATACTGATATAACAGGTGTAGGCCAGGACAGTCCTTCGCAAAGCTCAATATATAGTCACATGGTCATCTAATTCATAAGTCTCTTTTCTTATTGGGGTTCAGGCCTCTGACTCCCCCACTTTGTCTCCATCATGAATCTGAACCACTCTCCTTTATTCTCTGTGCCTCAGTTTCTCCACCCATAACTGAGGATAAGGTTTTTGCTCTGCCTGTTTCATAGGGCTGTTGTGATGAACAAAAGCAGTAAAGTCCAGAAGCCTCCATAGACCAGCCACTATGATCGTTCATGAGATTGGGATAAAGGGATACTCACCACTTCTTCGAGGCCGAACCAGTTGTTTCAGGAAAGGCACAGGATCCTGGCTCTCTCCTGACTGGGGATAGAGTTCCTAGGGGAATTAAGGGCAGGACTAAAACAAAGTCTTGCCAGGGATTCTCAGAGACATAAACTGAGACCAACAGGGGGCCATCAGGAGAGGAACAGACTGGCACAGAAGTCTTAGGGAGGGAAGAGCCCCTCAGCCAAGTGTGGCTGAGGCCAAGGGGAGGCCAATTCCTGGGATCGGGTCTCAGTCCTCACTCTCTTCCGGAGACCAGTCACACCTCCCCACCCCAAAACCAGCACAGACTCTGCACACAATTGGCATATTGCACACATGCCCACACCCAGAGTACAGATTGGGTACACATTCTGCACATACAACCAGCATCCCCATTCCATGACAGGCTCCCGTATCTCACAAACCCACAAAGCCAACACTTTGTACTCAGGTGACACAAACCCGGGACAAACCCATTACATACAGTTGTCACCCTCTCTCTCTCTCTCATACCCACGCACCGCTGAAACAGCTGGGGCACACCCTGTACCCTCAGCTTCCACACACTTCCCATATCCAGCAGTCTGCAGTCAGCACCCACACCCACTCACCTGCGGGTCCTGGTCCTCCTCTGCCATCAGCTCTCCCTGGGAAGGCTCCTGCTGGGAAGGAGGCAGCGTCACTCCGTTCTTCTCCACCTGACATCTCACCCTCCACCCATCTTCCTGGCCCTTTGCCCTCAGCCCACCCGACCCCATCAGCTGCTCCGCAGACTCAACTCCTAATCTGCCCAGGGAGGGGGAGACAGCAGGGCCTCACCTGGGCAGACGACAATGCCTGGCTCCCCAGGCTGACCACGGCTAGCAGAAGGCCAAAACAGGCCAGCGCCAGGCCCAGGCCCAGCACAAGTGGGGCCAGCAGGGCGGTGCCCGTTTGCCCTCAGCCCACCCGACCCCATCAGCTGCTCCGCAGACTCAACTCCTAATCTGCCCAGGGAGGGGGAGACAGCAGGGCCTCACCTGGGCAGACGACAATGCCTGGCTCCCCAGGCTGACCACGGCTAGCAGAAGGCCAAAACAGGCCAGCGCCAGGCCCAGGCCCAGCACAAGTGGGGCCAGCAGGGCGGTGCCCGGCTCCCCCCTGCGCCCCCTCCGCCTCTGGCTCCGACGGGCGGCCATGGGGGCGGGGGGCTGTGCCCCTCACCGCC